TTTTAGTATAGTGTGTAGAAAATGTTGGTCTTTCAAATAAGTGATTAAATTTAAAAGGTTCACCCTCAAAATTAAAATAAAACCCTTGATTTAAAAATGCATTCAAAGGGTTATGTTTGCATAATGTTATATTTTAATAACATACAAGCAATATATCGACCAAACACAAATTAATTTTTCAAGAATGGTTTTCTTAATTTAATCGTTTGCATAATATCTTACTTTATCAAATGTAATAATTTCCCTACAGTTTTAGTTAATAATCATCAATTTTTTACCATCATATCTTGATTAAAAGTGCAACATAAACTAGAACTGCCTTACTTCAGAATTTAATTTTACTTTCTTACATATTGATAGTTATTCTTCATTAATTGATTTGTTTTCTTATTTTGTATATAAGATAAACATCTTTCAACATTTACTTAAATAACAAGTTATTTAAAATTATATTATTCGCAGAATCTTCTACGCTCCACGTCTCTACCAGAGTACAAAACAGCAGCTATCAAGAAGTCCAAGTTCATTCTGTCTCACTATGGAGTTTTTAAAACTTGCTGGGATTGGCTGATACTCATCGCTACTTTTTATGTAGCCATCATGGTACCATATAGCGCTGCCTTCCGAGATACAAACATAAGCCCGTCTGTAAACAGGACTATAATTACTGACGTCATTGTTGAAGCTCTTTTTATTATAGGTAGTAAAATAGATAAACAGAGTTCAGTAAATTGAGATTGAAAAAAAATTGAAGTAGAGAGACATATGAATTAAAGTATATTAATGATTTATAACGTGTATTTATACCTAATGCACTTTATCTAATGAAGACAATTCACAGTAATCACAAGAATTTGGTACGTTTCTGTTGTTTGTTGTTTTTGTTTGTTTTGTACAGTATGGTACTTCAACTCGTGGGACATCTGTTCCAGCTACTGCTCGGGATTAATATTTAAAAAAAACCATTACTCAAGTGACAGATAAACAATAAGACGATAATTAAAATCAACAGAGTTAATTCATGTGATATGGTAGATGAAACTTCAAAATAATGTCTTTTTACAGATATCGTCATTAATTTCCGCACCACCTTCGTCAACAAGAAAGGTGAGGTAGTGGCCAAGCCAAAATCCATCGCTATTCATTATTTGCGAGGCTGGTTCCTTGTCGACTTGTTAGCCGCCATGCCCTTCGATCTTTTGTATGTTGCCCATCTTTACAATCGGGTAAGCCTTCTTTGAATCTCAGAAATACGAGTTCCACTTTTATTGTGAGAGACCCGATACGTATTATATGGAAAGTTAATCCTGACAATAATGAAACGTTATAATTTTGGTAACATCAAACCAACACTAGCTTCTATCAGTGGTAATGAATATTTTTACTTTATATATCAGATTCCAGTCAATCCACTTCTTCTGCTTCATTAGCATCCAGAAACGGAGATTAATCGTGCTGCATAAGAACTGTCTATACTTTCTGATATAGTTGTTATTCACCGTAGATTCGACGCGTTTAGTCCGACTATTCGGAATTATAACATCGTTCTTTCGGAAGAAGGATGTTCTAACAGCAAAGAGATGCACAATATTGTATAATGAATAGCATCGACAAGGAAATGCCAGTGAGAACGTAAAAATCACTAAAATAACATCTCATCACATGCAGGACTACCGTTACTATAGTCCGTGTTTATAGACTGGTTTTCCATGACCTTCCACCCCAAAAGGTCACTATTAATATATACAATCAACAGTACATATGATAATAAATGGAGATTTCCCCTGTAAGGTAGCATGAACTATGAAGGTACAAGATATACCCAAGAAATACAAGCTGCTGAGAGCTGTACTAAAAATACCTTTCACATGAGAGATGGAAATTTATTGCAATATTGGATGAGACCTGGGTGTACTTGAATGACTGCAGTAAGAAATGGGAGATTGCTACCATCACGGTGCAGGGGATCTAAAGAAAGTTCTTAGCAAGAAGGATTTTCCCCCTATAATACAGAGAGTGTAAGGAAAGTTCTAAGTTATAAGGACTATCCATCATGGTACAGAGAATGTAAGGAAAGTTCTAAGTTATAAGGACTATCCATCATGGTACAGAGAATGTAAGGAAAGTTATAAGTTATAAGGACTTTCCACCATGGTACAGAGAATGTAAGGAAAGTTCTAAGTTATAAGGACTATCCATCATGGTACAGAGAATGTAAGAAAAGTTCTAAGTTATAAGGACTATCCATCATGGTACGGAGAATGTAAAGAAAGCTCTAAATTATAAGGACTTTTCATCATAGTTTAGAGAATGTAATGAACGTTCTAAGCGAATAGGACTTTTAATCGTGATAGAGAGAACGTAAAGAAAGTTCTGTATCGTGATAGAGAGAGAATGTAAAGAAAGTTCTGTATTGTGATAGAGAGAGAACGTAAAGAAAGTTCTGTATCATGATAGAGAGAACGTAAAGAAAGTTCTGTATCGTGATAGAGAGAACGTAAAGAAAGTTCTGTATCGTGATAGAGAGAGAACGTAAAGAAAGTTCTGTATCGTGATAGAGAGAGAATGTAAAGAAAGTTCTGTATCGTGATAGAGAGAACGTAAAGAAAGTTCTGTATCGTGATAGAGAGAATGTTGTGCTTTAAGGTTGCAACAGGTTTCTCATACAATGAGAAATTTTAATTTGTAAATCAAATCTGTACTATAGTTACTATCAGAAGAATGTATTAACACCAACTATGAGAGATGAAATTCCTGTAATGTAGGGTAAAGACGCCAAGAAGGTATGTCTACATCAGGATAACATGTCAGTTATGCATCTAACTCCACAGCAGGGTTCTACGGATAAAACCGATGTTCATGTTGTACTCGTTCTCCGACCTACCTATGTAGTCGCCTGACTACTATCTGTTTGGTTTGCTTAAACGTGGACTCGGAAGCCAACATCCAAGTACGGTGGAAAGTCTACAAAAAAAAGTATGTAAACATGTTTGATCTATGACTGATGAACTCATTGTCCTTTCAAGAAGCCTGTTACAATATAAATTACAATATTAGGCGTAATCACAGACTGGGCACTTCCAGGGGCAGCATTAAACCTCGAACACTATTCTTTTTTATTGCAGCTAACTCTGATTAATAATCTATACTAGCTTCTGTAATATCAGCATCAAGCCAAACACTGGCTTCTGTTGTATATATAAATATTGTTTTAGTACCGTCTAGCCAAACACTGGCAGTTGCAAAGAAGTTTTTGTTTTATTATAATTTAATCAAACCTAGCTTGTAGATCCCTATTAATGGTTATTTTATCTAAATTGACATTTAACCACTCAGAGTTTTTGTATTGAATATTTCTGTTTTGTCATCATCTTGTCAAACAATGGCTTTTGTACGTAAGAAAAATGTGTTTCCCTATTTAATCAACTCTTGTTTGTGTAAGTGTCAGGGTGGTCAGCAAGTCTTATCTCACTAGTTCGTTTTTGTACAACCCTTGGGTGCTTGTTCTGAAAGCTCTGGACACGTGGTGTGATTGTAAAAGGTTTTGTGATCATGTTTCTTTTCCTTAGGGGTAGATTTGTCACTCGACGAACTCTTCACTAATAGTTTTGGTTTAATGTATTCACCTCTATTAAATATATTTATATAAATGTATATATAACTACTGTGTACTGTGAGTTTATTCCTGTTTTTATTGAAAAATGTATGTTAACATGTATAACACTTCTAGCATTGTCAAAGTTGACTGAGACGATGACAGACAGAAAGAATCAAATGTAATAACACACACACAATAAAAAAGTGAAACAATAATATTTGTGTTATAATTCAATAAACGTAGTAACAAATCTTATAGGGCTAGTGAACTAATTTCAGATAATTGATATGAGAATTCCGTTGGAAATCTATGTTTATTAAACTATCCGCATTAAACTTTGCTAGGCTGTTCCTTTTTGATTCAGTAACCGAATGTTTCAACGTTTCGATTACCTTTTCTCGTTTATCTTTAGGCTAAGAACATTTCATGTTTCTTGTTTTAAGATACGAAGTTGGACAAAAATGACGTTAAAACTTACGTAACGAGTTCAACGCGAACCTTTCAAGTTTTCAGTAGGTTTCGACTGAAGTGTGTAACATTAGCTTGTTGATCTTGTGGACAGTTAAATCTCGAGATTCGTATCTCAGCATTTTGGCTTGAAGAGGTTAGAAAACTGTTCAACTTATTGAAGAGTTACAACTAAGTTAACTACAAGAATTCATCTCAGTCTTTCTGTCTTAGGATTAAGTTGGTAATAACGCAGTCGTGCGAATGTTTCAGATATACATTCGAGGCTTTACGTCTCCAATGATGCTGTCGTTGATGTGAATGTATTATATATTCGTGTATTTTTAATTTATTAAGTTCGGCCGTAGTTAGCACAAATCTGCGATCTCACAAGTTTCTATTAAACTAAAACTTCTTTACAGGTGACTAATTTTTCAAACTTCTATACAAGAAATATTGTTGTTGAACCTGTCTTAAATAATTATTTTCAAAATTAATATAAACAAATTATAGTGTTCTGCGGAATAAACACTTGTTCGCAGTCTCTGTTAAAATGTTATATTAGATACTATATTTTGGAATCTAACGCTTTCTTTAGTTAAGCAAATTAATCAGTCTAAAATAAGATTTTTTACTTGACTGTGACAAATGTCAAGAATTACTTTCTACTTCAGAATTGTACCGTAAAAACTGACATAATATTAGACATTTCAGAGATTGGACAACAAATAAAACATCTACTTAAAGAAGTGGCCATTCTTCTCCAGATGTTAAATGGACTAGATCCTCAAGTGACTGATTAATTTCTTATTCCAATTACTTCTTAGACAAGTGATTTCTATTAAACATATATAAGATCTATCTCACGTTGGTTGCGTACAACATGGGAAACAAATGTGACATTGAAAGAGGACAGCTTGTAGAAGCCCGATTAATAGATGATTTATCGACCCAAAATGCATGACTTTTTGGTTTTGCAAGAAAAACAATATCATAGATCAAAGATTATTACAGCTTGGCGATTATCCCATAAGTCTCATCTATAACCATGAATGGAAGATCATTCATCATGAATTAATGAGACCGTCATACTTAATATCAAATGTGTCTCTGATGAATGGAACTTAACTCTTCAGCACACCTTCAGGAATTTACAGACGCTCTGCTATTAAGAACTGAAGCAGTTCTAACAGCCAAAGGTGGAATCCATCATCACCAATCCTCTTCTGGAGGGTGTTTATTTTTTATTTTTTTTTGTTGTTGTTGAACCCCTATATCACTAATCAACAAGCAAGCAAAAAACAAAAAAAAATATATATATATATACATATGAATTGGTTTAATCGCAATTAAAATACAAAACTAACCTGTATAAAACGTGTTATTATATCCCAAGGTAGTTTACTTTCTTAAATCAACATTGTATACTTTTACAACCATATACTATAGTTTTACACCGAAATTCTATACTTTTATAAAAACATACTGTAGTTTTACATCAACAAACTGTTTTCTTTTTTAAATAGCACGCTGTATTTTTACATCATAATAGTATATTTTTCAACATCCTATACTTTTATATCGACTTGTACGTTTATATCAACACACAATATTGTTATATTAACGTATCATAGTTTTATGTTAAGATACTATACTTTTAATAAATAAAAACGTAATTGTAGATCAAAATAATATAATTTTATGTCAACATTTTGTACTTGTACATGAGCATGTTATACCTTTACATCAATACACCATATTTTTGTTCCTTCTTGTTTTTTTGTATCTGTAGGACACGTCGATGCATTTATTGAAACTGACTCGCCTTCTTCGACTAGCTCGACTTCTTCAAAAGATGGACAGATATTCGCAGTACAGCGCCATTATCCTTACACTTCTAATGCTGATGTTTTCTCTGGTTTCTCATTGGCTGGCTTGTATATGGTACGTCATTGCATTAGAAGAAATTGAAGTCAATCCAGTTGACTGGGACGTAGGTGAGAAAAACTGATAATCTGTGGATCTCTAGTACTTTAGATGACACGGATATTCATTCAGATTTTAATACTGATGCCACCGTGAATGATCTGGTTAACATCTATTTACCCATGAAGGCGGATGCCATGTTAAGTATTCTTGGTAAGGCTGCGATGATCGTATTTCAGTCGTTGTCCTGGATATGATCAAATTACTAATTAGTTTATAGTTCTTTTGTTAAACATTAATGGCAAATTTTATATCCTACTTCTCATCTAGTAATTTAATGCGTTTTCAAGGAAGTCTGAAAAAACTGTATGTGGTGACAGAAGCCGATATTCTCACCTCATTGTAACTCAAACTTCTTCATCGGGATTCGGTCCATCTTTTGGACCATGGAGGGTCAGGTTCAACGTTGATCTCTTCCTCCCTCTCAGGAATTGACATTTTGTTTGCACTCTTACTGAATCCTAGATAATAACCCTTGTTATGTTGTTATTGCATTACTCACATTATGTTACGTTGTGTCCATTGTCCGCAGTTTTAATTAACATACCATTTTTGTGCATTGTCCAGTTCATGGGGTAATATTAACTCGTATATTTTCACTAGCTTCAGTGAGCGTGATCGCACTATTAGTCCGTGTTTAAAATACGGTTCCGCTTAGCAATCATATATACACACACAATCCTATTTTTACGAACAAACCCCTTTTAAAACAGAGCTACGTTTGTGTCTAGGATTCATTTAGCCTCGTACTGTTTGGCCTGTAAGATTATTATTTATGATGTATAGAGGGTAGAGGTACTTAAGGCTTGGTTAATCATGTATTATGTAACTCTCTAGTTTTCTCATCAATTTATTTTTATTAATATTATTCTTATAATATTGAAGCGAGTTATCCAGGAGTCTGTCTGATAGTGTTGGCATGTTTGAATAGTTGTGTAGAAATACTGAGTTTGTTGATACTGGGACTCTAAATGCTTTTGTGAGCAAAAAAGTGTGGTTTGGGTTTTTGAGAGGTATGTCGCTGACATATGTGGTAAACAGGGTAGAGCTTGAGGGATACCCGCCTCTGGAGTGCAGCACTCGGTGTAGATGCCCTCAACATTTACTCTGATGCTCCTATCTTCCAGGAAGCTAAAACCCCATTTCTAATTTAGTTTCTGAGCGTATTTATTTGTGTTTTTGTTTGTGGGTCACCGGTTCTCATATACTCTCTTCTTAATCTTCTTCGTTCCTTTATTTTGTTGATTATGTCAGTTTTCGGTTGCCATTTGGTTTGGGTATTGTTTATTGATGCTTTTGGTATGCATTCGTCAGCTGTTTTTATGGGGCTCTCTGGGATTACTGAACAGTAGTTGTCTATATTCAGGCTGCTAGTTGCTGTTGTGATCGGTTCATGTTGGAGAAGCTGTCTACTCACATTTCTTCTAATTTGCCTTTTTTGTAGTTACATTTTTCTGTGTGTTTTGGTTGATTTTTGTGTGGTGAGAAATCGAAGACACTCCATATCGGTAAGTGATCGCTGTCTGAATCTTGTCCTACGTTGAATGTTAGAAAGTTGCTTATTAATGTTAGTGAACACATACATAGGTCTAGTATATCACTGGAGTGGTATGTGTTGATGTTGTATCGTTTAGTAGGTAGGTACCTGAATTTTATTAATGTTGGTGAACACATACACATGTCTAGTATATCACTGGAGTGGTATGTGTTCGTGTTGTATCGTTTAGTAGGTAGGTACCTGAATCTTATTAATGTTGGTGAACACATACACAGGTCTAGTATATCACTGGAGTGGTATGTGTTGGTATTGTATCGTTTAGTAGGTACATATCTGAATCTTATTAATGTTGGTGAACACATACACATGTCTAGTGTATTACTGGAGTGATATGTTTGCTGTTGACTAGTTGCCTTCCACTAGTAGTGTTTGCTGTTGACTAGTTGCCTTCCACTAGTAGTGTTTGCTGTTGACTAGTTGCCTTCCACTATAGTGTTTGCTGTTGACTAGTGTCCTTCCACTAGTAGTGTTTGCTGTTGACTAGTGTCGTTCCACTAGTAGTGTTTGCTGTTGACTAGTTGCGTTCCACTATAGTGTTTGCTGTTGACTAGTGTCCTTCCACTAGTAGTGTTTGCTGTTGACTAGTTGCGTTCCACTATAGTGTTTGCTGTTGACTAGTGTCCTTCCACTAGTAGTGTTTGCTGTTGACTAGTTGCGTTCCACTATAGTGTTTGCTGTTGACTAGTGTCCTTCCACTATCAGTGTTTGCTGTTGACAAGTGTCCTTCCTTCTAGTCTATCAGTTCAAAATAACGGATGACTATGCACAGTTACCCCTCTTGCAACTTTACGCGGAAATCCGGAAACAGACAAACTAAAGGTAATCATATAGGCCAAAACAACCTTGAGAGTAATGTTGAAAAGTTTCACAAATCGAATGGTGCTGTTTAACAGCAAGTTCACTAAAGGCCAACGTAAAGTAGGAGCATATGAACAAATGGTGATATCGGTCAATACAAGTTGAAGAATCAACACTTTATTAAACCTCAGCATGTGAATATACAGGGCGTTCGATCAATATTTTTAACTTTAGAGTTCTTGCTACTGCTGAGTCTGAAACTGAACTGATAAAAGAAACCATGTTCGTTAAAAATCATTTCCATTCCTCAACAAAACCCAATCTTCATACAACTTAGAATTGTTCTTAAGCAGTAAACAATCTTCGCATGGTTTAAAAGTATTATTTGTTATATATGTTACTCTAATTAAAATTTTTTCTCATTTCTATACATTTCTGATGATAGAATACTTGTTATTGCAAAATGCTTCATAAAATTTTTTGTACACTTACGCTCGTATTTTGTTTTGTGATAAAGCTACTTTTTCCGATTAATGAATCGATGTCCGTGAGGATATAATTTAGACATTATAAAAAAGTCAAAGTTATGACGTCTCTAATATATATATATATATATATATATATGTGTGTGTGTGTGTGTGTGTGTGTGTGTGTGTG